GACGCCTTGGTGCAGGCTCCCCCCTTGTGTTACCCCGATTTCACGCAACCGTTTGTGCTCGACACGGATGCCAGTAACACGGGTATCGGGGGAGTGCTCTCACAGGTGGTCGGGGGGGTCGAACGGGTGGTCGCCTACGGTAGCAGGGTTCTGTCCCCCGCGGAACAACGCTACTGCGTGACACGGCGTGAATTGCTGGCGATTGTGTTTTTTATACAGCAATTCAGGCCGTATCTGTATGGCCGTCACTTTACGGTTCGCACGGACCATGCGGCTCTCCAATACGCTATGCGGGTGGCGCAGCCATCCGGCCAATTGTCCCGATGGTTGGAGGTCCTTCAGGACTACCAATTCACGACGATTTACCGCAAGGGGTTGCGCCACTCGAATGCGGATGCATTGTCACGGTTGCCGACGCGTACGGAATGCGCATGTCAGTTAGGATCGGCGCGGTGTAAACCTTCTGTCGATGTCCCCGCGGAAGTGGTGCTAGCCGCCACGGATACTACGGGGGTCGACGCCCCCACGGGGAGGGACTCGCTGTTAGCATTGCCTCTCATCGAGTGGGGCCGTCTGCAAATGGCCGACAGCTCCCTACTCGCGCTACGTCGGAAGGTTAACGTTCCCGAAGGCGGGGAAACGCGGGTCGGTTCCTGGGTGTGCAGACAGGGCCTCTTGATGAAGTGGGACTCCATGTCCCGGCGTCACATGCTTGTGGTGCCGGTTGCTGTACGGGGTAAGGTCGTCCTGGCTGCCCATGAACGACTCATGCATCTGGGGTTTCACAAAACGCTCGCCCTCATTCAGCGAGACTACTATTGGCCTGGGATGGGCAATGACGTGGCGAACATTCTTAAGGGGTGTGTAGGGTGTGCTAAAAGAAAACCGCCACCAATAGCGGCTAATCCACCGCTTCAATCCATTCAAGTTTCGCGCACGAACGAATTGGTCGCGCTAGACATCTTGGGGCCCTTTCCCACTACACCCCGGGGAAATAAGTTCCTGCTGGTTGGCGTAGAGTACTTCACCCGCTGGCCCATGGCGTGGCCACTCGCCAACCAGTCGGCTGCGGCAGTGGCGGACGCCTTTGTCCAAGGTTACGTTTTGGACAAAGGCGCCCCCGAACGCTTGCTGACGGATCAAGGGAAGAACTTTTCGAGTGTTTTGTTGCACGAGGTGTGCGACCTGTTGGGTACAAAGAAAGTACGTACCTCCCCGTACCACCCGCAGACTGACGGTATGGTTGAACGTCTGAACAGGACGATTACGTCTATGCTGTGCCAACAGGTATGCGACGACCAGGTGGATTGGGACTTACAGGTACCGGGGGTACTAGCGGCCTATCGGATGGCACCCCATGCGGCGACGGGGTTTTCTCCATTTTTTCTGATGTATGGGCGGGAGGCTGATCCGGCCATGGACGTCCAACTGGGGATTTCACAGCCACGTGCAAAATCTAAATTGGCAGACCACATTAAGTTTAACATTGCCAAATTGGCTGAGGCGCGAGAGGCTGCGAGATTGAATTCACGCTCTCGGCAGATCGCGAACGAGCGATTGCATGAACGGAAGGTGCATACGCACAATTGGGAACCGGGCGATAAGGCCTGGCTGCATTGTCCACACGCACCGTTGGCTACGTCCCCCAAACTGTTGAGACCATGGAGGGGACCGGTGGAAATTGTGCGGGTTGCACGACCCCAGAGTATACAGATTAAATGGGGAAAACGCCGTTGGTACGTGCACCCCTCCCGACTGAAACCCTACGCGGCGCCGCGTGACCCCGGGTTGTGCCGTGACGACCGAGCGTGTGATGTGACCGTCGACTCGGGGAGGGATGTGTCGCAGGCTGATCCTCACGTGTCTCCACCTGACCCACCCCCAGGTGTCTCGGACCTGACGGCTGTTGACCGTCGGGAACCGGAACCCCGGGGCTCGCGCGGAGCCCCGATGCCTGGCCCATGCCTTCCTGAACTGCCGGCGCCGCCGGATGGCCAACTGCGTCCTGTGCCGTACGACGGTCCGGCAAGGCGGACTCGGGCAAAGACGCAACACTTTTCATGAAAAAAAAAAAAAAAAAATTCTTTTTTTGTATTAAAGCCCGACTTCGTTGCCGGCTTCCCCCTCTGCCGGGGTAATGTCCCGTTCAAGGGACGCTCGGACATTGGGACGCTGCATGAGTCGGAGAGAAAAGAAGAGAAAATGATTAAAGAAATTTTTTTTATTGTTACTCTTTCCGCATACACAGTATCGTTGCCACTCGCCGGATTGTGCATGTTGTTCTTGTTGCGGGTGTGGCGGTTGCGGGGTTTTGCGGATTGCGGTGTTCATGTTGTGTTGTTAGGGTTTGTGTTATGTTACGGGGCACACATGGGAGTGAAGGGGTGTTGTATGTTTTGTTAGCAGCCGGGTCGGCTGCGAGCTATGTGGTAGGGGGTGATGTAGTGGTGGTATTGACGTGCGCCGGCAGTGACGGATCACGGGGCGCGGGGTTGGGCACGCGATGTGGGCGTGGCATGGACGCGCGCGCCGGTGGTGAGGCGCGCTCACACAAGCTGGGAAAAGAGGATCGTAGCGAGTGCGCAGTGATTGGTCAGATAAGTGGGTACTCTCAGCGACGTCCGCAGGAGGGGTATAAAGGGGGACGCGCGAGAGCACTCGTGGTCAGTGTTAACCAGTTGAAGACCGAAGACGGGGTGGAGGAGGTAGGGGCCCGAGACCCCTAGTCCCGCCGTCCTTGTGGGGACCGGGGCCCTGTGTGGCTCGGAGCCGAGACTGGGGGGGACCGTAGTCCGACGCCCGTGTGGGTCGGGACGGTGGTACCCAGAGCCGAGACGGGCACCCCGGCTGGGTGTGTCCCGGAAGGCTACGGGGCGTAAGAGCCCGTGTCAGTACAGCTGAGTGGGTGTTGGTCACCCGTGTAGCTGAGTGGGTGTTAGTCACCCGTGTAGCTGAGTGGGTGTTGGTCACCCGTGTAGCTGAGTGGGTGTTAGTCACCCGTGTAGCTAAGTGGGTGTTGGTCACCCGTGTAACGAAGTTGTAGCTGAGTGGGTGTCCGTCACCCGTGTAGCTAAGTGGGTGTTGGTCACCCGTGTAACGAAGTAGGGTGTTAGTCATCCGTGTAACTACAAGTTGGTGAAAATAAAGAGTGTGCTACCCATGAAGTCGTCTCCTGCCGAGTAACTACTTTACATATGCAAGCCATCTGGCTACCATGAGAGATTCGTTCATGAGGCGATCCACATATACAAACACAGAGACAATTTCAACCGGGAAGATGGATTCTGGCTCAGCAATCATTGGAAGGACGTAATTAACCATTTCGGATCTTAACTGATTGTGTTCACGTTTACGGTGACTTCCAGACCGCAGTCCACTCACTGGCATGACTATATATCTTGTATTCTCCGCAGGGAATGGATTCTTTGCTCCGCTGCAAGTCTCCTACTACCACTCTTCCATTGACATATTTCGTTGCTTCCTCTTAGTATCTTTCACTCGACGGTCAATGGTATAGTGTATAGCAGATTGTATAATAATAAATAGTATAAAATTGTAATGTTTAATACAATGTATAAGGCAATATATAGTATCGTAATTGTATAGTGAATATACAGCAGTGTGATATACAGTAGGGTGGATAGAATAATACATATTGTAATATTACACGATGTATTATTCTAAGGTATAGAGTGGTGTATAGTAATACAGTATATAATTCAATGTTGGGTTTGTCTATGGCAGCATATAGTACGGGGTAGACCCGTGTGATGTAAGGGAAAAAAGTTTAGAATTGTAATGTATTACTTACTGTTAGTAGCTCAGCTTATTTGAGAGTATATTTAGTATACTGATGATACTATGTAGTTTATACTTCAGTTTTTTACGTGGTTGTTTAGTTACTGCAGCTACATACTCTTAACATTCCTTCCCTTTGTTAATGCTACCCCTATCCCCTCCCTTTGATGCTGCTAATCCTGCATAATGCACGGGCATAATATGACTTTGAAAACCCCCTGCCCACCTCCTACGCATTTCACAAGTAGTACTAATCACATATCTGCATTTCCCATAAATATGCAAAATTCCTCTTGGTATGCAAATTATTTTGTCAAGGCGCCCTTCCCCCCTTCTAACCCAGCTTAAATATACGCTGCCAAGCAAGGTGGTGCCCATTCAGACGTTGTCTTTCTGACAGACCTGTTCTTCACCTGAGGACGGCTGCTTGTGTTGTGGCCGAAACGTCGTGAGAATTGTTTTATTATGATTTATTTTTATTATTTTATTATTTCCCTTCTACGTGACTTTACCGAAAGAACCAAGAAGATGGAGATTAGTCCATACACTCTGCTGCTGTAGGAGGGAGAGAGATGGAACAGATGGAGATTCGTCCACACACTCTGCTGCTGAAGGAGGGAGTGAGATGTAACAGATGGAGATTAACCCACACATTCTGCTGTAGGAGGGAGTGAGATGTAACAGATGGAGATTAGTCCATATGTAATAAACCTTCTTGAGACGGCTTCGGAATCAGTCCTTTTTATTTCCACTTCCACAAATACACTTTACTCACACACTCTCCGTTGCTGGCAGACAACGGAGAGAGGGCAGACTTCACACCAAGTCCCCACCGCGCACGTGGCACCCAGAGCCCCCGTACGCGCGTGACTCTTGCTCTTGTCGTTCCCCAGTCTGCTCTCGATCGTTCTCTCTCTCTCTCTCTTAATCCCTTCGTCACGTGGTACCCCCCAGACAATCCTCCATAGATAGCATTGACCGTTCTCGATGGTTCCCTGTCAATCCCAGGACCACGCCTCTGATCCGGCTCCGCATTAGCTGGGGCCCGAATGGCCAGGCCAATCACCCCTGCTAACATGCCGTGATCACGCAGAGGCCATGCTCCCTGTCTCAACCCTTATTGGCTACAAAGCAGGACCGGCAAGCCAATCCCCACGTGAACCCTCTATGGCTGTTATTACATCACCCCCCCCCCCCCCCCCCCCCCCCGGTGAAAAAAGAATTAGCCGTCTCGGCTGGGAAAAGGGTGATGAACCAATTCCGTAAAACATCTTATTAGGGCACCAAGGTGCATTTAACAGTAGAGGGTGAAACGGCGTCCCCGCGCCTAACAACACTTAAAAACAGTCACCCATGAAAAACCCGACATACATTAGGGCGCCCCTGCAGCGCAGTAACGACATGGAAAATAGCTAAATGATCAAACGTTAACGAAACGGGAGAGATTTCGACTGCGTACGCGACGCGGGACCCTCTCCGCTTTCAGCGCATGGTCGCTTTGCTTCCGGATGGACAGGAGGTAGAAGGCTCGAAGAAGAAGTAAGTTGTTGGTGCTTGGTCACGTCCAGGGCAGGCCCCGTTGGAGGGGGGGCAGCGGGGGCTTCCTCAGCCCTCAGAACCTGTTCATCTGTAGGAGGCACAACACAGTCCCCCTTGGGATCAACGGGTGTGACAATCGGCGTAGTTGGCTCGGCAGAACCCGGCAGGTCAGCTAGTGGGGATGAAGGACCGACACGCGCGTCAACATAGGGTTTAAGTCGCGAGGAATGAACATACCACCGCCGTTTTCTGTACTGAACACGGATACTTTGCGAGTTCTGAACATCTACCAGCGTCACAGGCCCCCACCACGGCCTGTGCAGTTTGGGGGATGTGCCCGCCGGTACCTGGGGGCAGTGGAGCCACGCCAGGTCTCCCACTGACCAAGGCATGCGAGTATGCGATCGACGCGCATACCATTCGTTCCTTGCCTGGGCACGGGCCGTCGCACACCGGGCAGCCTCTCGCGCCTCCGTTACTCGTTCAAGTGAGTCACGCACGTGGTCAGGCAAGGAGCTGGACGGTCGTTTACTCGGCTTACTCAGTTGCACATCGATGGGTGGAACATTTTCACGGCCATACATCAAAAAAAAAGTAACGGATGGAATGTTGCAGAAGGTGGAATTTCTTAGGTTTAAATTTAAGGTCAGCCGCACGCATTCTTTGAAAAACCGTCTCTAGGCATTGGAGGTGTTCCTCGAACGTGCGGCTGAAAACAATTATATCGTCTAGATATATGAGGTACGTTTCCCACTGTAGTCCAGCCAACACCAATTCCATGAGCCGCTGAAACGTCGCTGGAGCCGCATTCAAGCCCATAGGCAACCGATTAAATTCAAAGAGACCTTGCGGCGTGCGGAATGCCGTTTTGGTTTTCGACTCATCATCGAGGGGAAGCTGCCAGAAGCCCGAGGACAGGTCAAGGGTGGAAAAAAATTTAGCACCCGATAAAGCATCCAATGAGTCATCCATCCTCGATAAGGGGTACGCGTCCGCCACCGAAATTTTGTTCAACCGGCGGAAATCAACGCAAAACCGCGTACCACCATCTTTTTTCTTAACCAGAACGACGGGCACGCCCCAATTGCTGTTGGATGGCGAAATAATATCCGCCGCCAGCAATTCATCTCCTGCTCCGCGCCCGTGTTCCCTTTCCGCCGGGCTCATGCGATGAGAGTGCATACAGATGGGAGGTGCCGCACCGGTGTCAATATGGTGCGACAAAAGCGACGTGCGGCCCAGATCCAAATCATTTCTGCTGAAAACATCAGCGTACCGTAGCAATAGTGAACGCAGGGCGTTCCTTTGTTCATTCGACAAGGAAGAATTCTCTCCGCATAAATCTGCGATCCAGCGTTCTTGTAAACGATCGTGCGGAGGCCCACCCGCGGGCATCCAGGCGCGTGGCGTTTTGTCACAAGAGGCGAAATCGGTAGTGGCGTGAGCTAGCACCGATCCCTCCGGAACAACAACGCGGTCAGGTCCCCCATTCAACACCTGTATGAAAGGTGCCTGACCTGGTCGCACGATCGTTTGTGCCGCCGCCAAAGAAAAAGATTTAGATACTGAATTCGATGGAGATAATAGCACGCCCTTCGCATCCCTTCCCATTTGAAGGGGTTTTCGGTAATGCAGCGGAATGAGCATTTGCGCTCCCGACGGAACCTCCACCGTAGCAGCAACTACAGCAGTAACTGCGTTACCTGTAGGCGCATTGCCCAGCAGGGAAGGCAGGAACGCCATCCTACGATCCCCCGGCATTTCCAAACAGTCCTGGTCGACCCGTATTCTCAGCGGCATCCGGCGCAGAAAATCAGTACCAAGCAAGCATGGAACAGCTAGCGAGCGAGAGATTAACACAGGTCCTGCGGCGGTAATATTTCCGATAGCGATGATCACATCTACCTGACCACAGATACCCATGCTTCCCCCATTTGCGGCAACACACGCATCATTAACCCTGCGTATCCGCGACGTAGGAATGGACAACAAATGAAAAATAACATCTGAAATGATGGTAGCAGACGCGCCCGTGTCTACCAAGATACGGACGTCAACGCCGTCGATGGTACCCCGTACCGTCGACGAGCCCGACGCCGCAGCCACAACCCTGCGAGCCAATTTCTTCCACTGTGTAGCAGAGCGTGTAAATTGAGCAGGAGAAGTAAAATTATCCTTAGGAGTGTAAGAATGAGTGCGAGTGGATGAATGATGTGACATGACCTGCCGGGTGTGCGATTTGTGCCGACTCGCCCGAGGTTGTTGCAGTTCCGCAGCAGGTGGAGGAGATGAAGGTCCCCTCGGCGGAAGAGGCAAAAGCAGAGGTCGGCAGCGGCCGTCGCGGGCGAAATAGCCTCGTCTGCAGCACTTGAAACACGCGGCCGTCATCGGCCGGCGGTCGGATGACCCGGCCCCCGCACGTGGATGGGCTGCGTAGTCCCCACTCGCGCAGCCGCCGTCCCGGAATCCCGTGCGGAACAGCAGCAGCCAGCACGTCGTCGTCGCCAGAGTCGTCGGAGCAGTGGACAACCCGTCGTGGAGACCACCCCAAGGGCGGCCCGTCGATTTCGGGTTTCCCCGTCCACGCCGCCATCTGGTCCCTGTGCGTGATGTTAAACTTAGCGTCCAGGCAGCGCGCCACCCATCGCGATGTAAGCGGTTCGTGGCCGCACACTGGTAGAGAAATGTTGAGCTCCTGAGACAACTTCAGCATACGGGAAAGGATGAGAGGATCCAAATGATCGGCCGTCGCGTCGGGGTAGGCAGCCATGGCCAGCGCCATCAACGCCCCCCGATAAGCCAAAGGCGACTCCTCCGATCCTCGGCGATGCGACATAAATTTTCTGGTGGCTGACGTCGGTGGGTCATAAAATTCCGCCATCTCTGCGAACGCATCTCGCAGTGTCTTCTTCTTGGACGCCGGGATGGAGCGGAAGACCCCCAGAGAAACATCATCAAGCAGTGTAGGTAGCGCTCCCAGCGCTTCATCCTCCGTCCAGTTAACGGATCTAAAAGCTGACTCGAAGCGCCACGTAAAAGCACTCAAATCGCCCCCGGCGATAAATTCTTTAATTTGTGGAAGGCGATGTCCGCGATGGCAAGCGCGCGCCGCGGGCGTCTCCGACTGCCGTTCCCGCTCTCCACCCATTGCAGGCAAAATGGCGTCCGGCGGCCGCGTGGCGGTAGGCGCGCCCAAAATGGCGGCCGACGGCCCCGGCGCAGCCGCCCCACCCAAAACGACGGCGTCCTCCCACGTGGCAGGAGCAATGGCGGACTCAGATTCCTTTGCAGGACCCCTTCCCGCGGCGTCCAGTTGATCGGCGATCTGGCGACCCACGGCTGGTGAGGACGCCACCGCGGTCACCAGGCTTAGCAGAATGGCGCGTAATGACTCAATCTGCTCCGCCATCAGCCGCCATTCGTCTTTTGTTCCTGCGGTGGTCGCATCTTCCCCCGGTCGACGCTGAGAGGCGTCGAGGAGAGTATTATCAGCAGGCGGCATAGGGGCTGTAGCTCCCAACAGCTCATCTTCATCCGTCTCGACCTCTTCCTCCGATGGAGGCACGGGCAGGTTCTTTTTTCTGGGGTGCTTGGACATCTTGACGATCGTCCAAACAGTCGCAGAAGCACTTCTGACACAAGTGTAATAAACCTTCTTGAGACGGCTTCGGAATCAGTCCTTTTTATTTCCACAAATACACTTTACTCACACACTCTCCGTTGCTGGCAGACAACGGAGAGAGGGCAGACTTCACACCAAGTCCCCACCGCGCATGTGGCACCCAGAGCCCCCGTACGCGCGTAACTCTTGCTCTTGTCGTTCCCCAGTCTGCTCTCGATCGTTCTCTCTCTCTCTTAATCCCTTCGTCACGTGGTACCCCCAGCCAATCCTCTATAGACAGCATTGACCGTTCTCGATGGTTCCCTGTCAATCCCGGGACCACGCCTCTGATCCGGCTCCCCATTAGCTGGGGCCCCGAATGGCCAGGCCAATCACCCCTGCTAACATGCCGTGACCACGCAGAGGCCATGCTCCCTGTCTCAACCCTTATTGGCTGCAAAGCAGGACCGCCAAGCCAATCCCCACGTGAACCCTCTATGGCTGTTATTACACATACATTCTGCTGTAAGAGGGAGTGAGATGGTACAGATGGAGATTAGTCCACACACTCCGCTGTAGGAGGGAGTGAGATGGAACAGATGGAGCTTATCCCACATACTCTCCTGCTGTAGGAGGAAGTGAGATGGAACAGGGGAAGGGAGTTTCACAGCGACCCATCTGTATGTGATCCGCCAACCCTCGTTGCGGCCTATGCCTCCATAACAGTGCTGGATGATTAAAGTCAGCTACATTGCCACCGCCGCCGCCCGGATGCCCAGTTATCGAGCATCGGTAACCGATTTTCATTAACCAGTTATGGATAACCGGTTATCGGTAGCCAGTTATGCAAACTATTATGATGATGCTGACCATTAGAGGGGCGAGCCCGGCTTGGGATGGGAGTTACACCATCCAGCAGCCGATAGACCACGGCCAATATTGATTGCAGGGCGCTGGTGACCCAGTGAAGATGCCAACGTCAGCCCAACCTTCTTCGTAGCGCGTCCGGCGCTTGTTGCAGCGCTTCGCAACCAGTCCTGGGACGCCGCGTCGGCTCGGAGATGTTGACTACCTCGCCTGGTACACAGGAGGGCGTGGGTTTGATCCAGACCCTGACGCATGCTGCTGCTGTGTATGTGGTGTTTTCGGTGTCTCTCCGGATTCTCCCTCCACATTTAGAACCAACTTCACCGCGCCTTCAGAGTATTCGGCTGTGGGGTTTTAAATTCCCACGTGATGACGATGACGAACCGCCACTTTGTCGCAGTATCGTTTGTAATAGCCAGGTCGCTTCTTTAAAAACACGAGCTGTGTAGCTCCTGGTAACAAGAACAACAAATCGTGTTTGTTTAATTTTTGTTGGGGTATTTTTAGTGCTCCCTTACTCCGCGTCGCCACTCGCGGAGGACGGGGAAAAAAACGATCCCCGTGGCCTCCCTCACAAGAGCGTGGCCACGGTGTGCCGCACGCCTCGATGGTGGCCTCCGACGCTCACAACAAAACGAGCGGAGCGCCGGGCAGCTAAAGCGCAGCAAGTTGTCACAGCAGGGGGCACAGTTGGTGCATCTGCCAGCCATCTCAGTCAGTGAACCCATGGCCGATCGGCCGAATGATCTCTCTTCCAACCTTCGACGCGTCCCGCTGTTTACCGTCCCCTGTGCCAAGAGCCCCCCATGCCCCCCCCACCCCCCATGTGATCGTCATCGGGCACCGAGCAAGGACTTCGCCGACATCATCGCCCGCGTGGCCTCGCGGTCGTCGTTATTTGGCCTCGACTCTGTCTGCCGATGTCTCCTCCATCGCCGCGCTCGCACGCCTCTACAACCGGGGAAGGTCCAACTTGTGATTTAAAACGTTGGACCAAACGTCGCTGGCACGCGGCCCGGAACCGTTGGCATAACGTTGGAACTGAACGTTGGGGCGACATTCGATGTTTATCGTTGGCAGGGCTCTCCACCTTGGCTAACCTGCACTGATTCGCGTGGTGAAGTATGGTCAAATAGCAATCGCCGCACCGCGCTCTATACGAAGTGATGCAGCACGTGTCACGAGTCTACTTGCTGTGCTGCCCACTTGCTGCAGAGAGGAGATGGAAGGATCAGCTGAGTCAGGGACGCGACGTCACGCATTGAGATCGTGTAATCTCACAATGCACATCAACACCTGAGGCTCTTTGTCGAACAGATCCCTCTGCACTAGAAAATGTACAACAGGCAACGTTTCGGGTAGTGGCCCATCTTCGTAGCACATAGACTGGTCAGGAGAGAGAGTGGATAATGGCTGTAATAGTCAGAGGAACTTTGTTTCGGTAATTACGTAACAATTTTAAACAGAAATCGGTGTAATCAGAGAACATGTTTCAATAAAATTGTCACCTCCAACTCTCGTTACGCTCCCCCTCTCTCTCTACGGAGTATCTCAGTCCACGTGCTGTCAAGAAGGACTGTTGCCCGAAACGTTGACGACGAGATATGTGTTCGTCTTGTTCTCCTTCTTAAGCTACGGCGGTGTTTTGTTGTTGTCGCTGTTGTTGTTTTTGTCGCTGTGGCTGTTGGTGTTGTGGCTGTTGTTGTTGTTGTCGCTGTGGCTGTTGTTGTGGCTGTTGTTGCTGTTGTTGTCGCTGTGGCTGTTGTTGTCGTTGTGGCTGTTGTTGTTGTTGTCGCTGTGGCTGTTGTTGTTGTTGTCGCTGTGGCTGTTGGTGTTGTGGCTGTTGTTGTTGTTGTCGCTGTGGCTGTTGTTGTGGCTGTTGTTGCTGTTGTTGTCGCTGTGGCTGTTGTTGTCGCTGTGGCTGTTGTTGTTGTCGCTGTGGCTGTTGTTGTTGTTGTCGCTGTGGCTGTTGTTGTTGTCGCTGTGGCTGTTGTTGTTGTTGTCGCTGTGGCTGTTGTTGTTGTTGTTGTCGCTGTGACTGTTGTTGTTGTCGCTGTGGCTGTTGTTGTTGTTGTCGCTGTGGCTGTTGTTGTTGTTGTCGCTGTGGCTGTTGTTGTTGTTGTCGCTCTGGCTGTTGTTGTTGTTGTCGCTGTGGCTGTTGTTGTTGTCGTTGTGGCTGTTGTTGTTGTTGTCGCTGTGGCTGTTGTTGTTGTCGCTGTGGCTGTTGTTGTTGTTGTCACTGTCGCTGTTGTTGTTGTCGCTGTCGCTGTTGTTGTTGGACACGGCGCGTGTTGTGAGGCGACGTTTGCTGTGCTCTGTGCACCACTGCCAAACGCAGCAGCAGCAGCGTCGTTAAAGCCAGTCTGTCTCTCTCTGTCAGTCTGTCTCTCTCTGTCAGTCTGTCTCTCTCTGTCGGTCTGTCTCTGTGTGTCTCTCTCTCTGTCTGTCTCTGTGTGTCTCTGTGTGTCTCAGTCTGTCTCTCTCTCTCTGTGCCTCTGTCTGTCTCTCTGTCTGTCTCTGTGTGTCTCTCTCTGTCTTTCTCTGTCTGTCTCTGTGTGTCTCAGTCTGTCTCTCTCTGTCTATCTCTGTGTGTCTCTGTCTTTCTCTGTCTGTCTCTGTGTGTCTCAGTCTGTCTCTGTGTGTCTCAGTCTGTCTCTCTCTCTGTCTGTCTCTGTGTGTCTCTGTGTGTCTCAGTCTGTCTCTGTTTGTCTTTCTGTCTGTCTCTTTCTGTCTGTCTCTGTCTGTCTCTTTCTGTCTGTCTCTGTGTGTCTCTGTGTGTCTCAGTCTGTCTGTTTTCTCTGTCTCTGTGTGTCTCAACCTATCTGTCTCTGTGTGTCTTTCTCTGTCTGTCTCTGTGTGTCTCAGTCTGTCTCTGTCTGTCTTTCTCTGTCTGTCTCTTGTGTGTCTCAATCTGTCTCTCTCTTTCTGTCTCTGTGTGTCTCAGTCTGTCTTTCTGTGTCTGTCTCTGTGTCTCAGTCTGTCTCTGTGTGTATCAGTCTCTCTCTCTCTCTCTGTCTCTGTGTCTCTCTCTGTGTGTCTCTGTGTGTCTCAGTCTGTCTCTCTCTGTCTGTCTCTGTGTGTCTCTGTGTGTCGCAGTCTGTCTCTCTCTGTCTCAGTCTGTCTCTCTCTGTCTGTCTCTGTGTGTCTCTGTGTGTTTCAGTCTGTCTCTCTCTGTCTGTCTCTGTGTGTCTCAGTCTGTCTCTGTGTGTCTCAGTCTGTCTCTCTGTCTGTCTCTGTGTGTCTCAGTCTGTCTCTGTGTGTCTCAGTCTGTCTCTCTCTGTGTGTCTCTGTGTGTCTCTGTGTGTCGCAGTCTGTCTCTCTCTGGCGACACTGCCCCTGACTATCCTAATGTTAACTTCATCATCTATGTGCACAGTGCGAGACAGAGTACTACCAAGGTAAGTAAACTTGTCAATGGCTGAAAGCTTTTGCCCATTCACAAAGATGGTGAGCTCAGTGTAGGGTTTTCCAGGAGCAGGTTGGTATAGGACTTCAGTCTTCTTTGTGCTGATTGTTAGGCCGAAGTTGTTACAAGCCAAGGAGAAGTGGTCCATATTGTCCTGTAGATCTTTATTTGAGCCAGCAGCCAGAGCACAGTCATCAGCAAAAACAATTCTCGAACAGTGACTTCCTCCAACTAGTTTTGGCTTGCATCCTCCGCAGATTGAATAGCCACCGTCAAAACGGTAGATGAAGCTAATCCCAGTGTTGTGGTTCTGGAAGGAGTCTTGCAGCATGGCAGAAAACACCATGCTGAAGAGCATTGGTGCTAAAACGCAGCCTTGCTTCACCCCGTTTGTGATTGGGAATGGATCAGGGAGTTCTTGCTGGTCTCTGACGCTGGCCAACATACCAGTAGTAGAAGACCTGCATTGCTGTTACATTTTCCAATGCCATGTGCACCTATGACTCCATTCCATAATTGATGGTCACTTCCAACTCTGGTGTTGAAGTCACCAAGTATCAGGAGTTTGTCCGAGCTGGCTGTGGCAGCAATAATGACTTCCAGGTCATCATAAAACTTGGTTTTGATCTCGTCGGAGTTGGTCATGGTAGGGGCATAGGCAATGATGATGGTGGCCTCCTTTTTACCCAATAGATGGAGCTTTAAGGTCATTAAACGGTCGTTTAAACCCTTGGGTTGGCTTGCCAGTTAGTTGACCAGGTGTTTTTTACTGCAAAACCAACACCAGCATCACGTCTCTCCTCCTGGCCTCGTCCGCTCCAGAAGAATGTGTAACCTGCACCCACTTCAGTCACCTGTCCAGTATTGGCCAGTCGGGTCTCACTAAGGGCAGCAACATCCACATTGTATCTGGCTAGCTCTCTGCCCACCAGGGCGGTGCGTCTCTCAGGTCTTTTTTTATCCAAATGTGTCCATCAAAGTGCGCACATTCCAGGCGCCAACAGTGAGTGGTATCATTTCGATTTAAAGCTTTCGTGACTGCAGGGATTCATCTTCTTGGTTCTTTCGGTAAAGTCACGTAGAAGAAAAGTAATAAAATAATAAAATAAAACATAAAAAAATAATTCTCACGTTTCGGCCACAACGCAAGCAGCCGTCCACAGGTGAAAACCAGGTCTGTCGAGGCGACAGTGTCTGAATGAAACAGCACATGTGCTTGGAGCATATATATATAAGCTGGGTTGGAAGGGGGGGAAAGGGCGCCTTGACAAAATAATTTGCATATCAAGAGGAATTTAGCATATTTATGGGAAATGCAGGTATGTGATTAGTACTAATTATGCCCGTGCATTATGCAGGATTCGCAGCATCAAAGGGAGGGGATAGGGGTAGCATTAATAAAGGGAAGAAGTGTTATTAGTATGTAGCTGCAGTAACTAAAACCACCACGTAAACAACTAAAGTATAAAGTACATAGTATCATCAGTATACTAAATATACTCTACAATAAGCTGAGTTACTAACAGTAAGTAATACATTACAATTCTACGTCGTAAAAATATAATATGCTTCCATCTAAACTTTTTTCTCTTACATCACACGAGTCTACACCGTACTATATACTGCCATAGACAAACCCAACATTAAATTACATACTGTATTGCTATAAACCTATGTATTATTCTACCCACCCTAATGTATATCACACTGCTGTATATTAACTATACAATTACGATACTATATATTACTTTGTACATTGTATTAAGCTGCGGAGAATACAATGCCAGTGAGTGGAACGCGGTCTGAAAGTCACCATAAACGTGAACACAATCAGTTAAGATCCGAAATGGTTTATTACGTCCTTCCAATGATTGCTAAGCCAGAATCCATCTTCTCGGTTGAAATTGTCTGTGTTTGTATATGTGGATCGCCTCATGAACGAATCTCTCATGGTAGCCAGATGGCTTGCAGAGAACCTCTGTCTTGGAGAAGTCAATATCATGTGAGCTCACTGAATTGTAACAGTGATCTGCCACGGATGAGGTGTTTGTCCTACCGTGTTTCAAGTCTGCTTTATGTTCACGGATGCGGTCCGAGACATGTCGTTTGGTTTCTCCAATGTAACTGCTACCACAGAGGAAACTTAGTTTGTAGACGCCATGGTACTGTATGTCTAGAACCACATCTTTTACAGACGGGACCAGATTACGGATTTTATGTACGGTGTTGAATCGGGCCTGGATCTTGTGTTTTATCAAGATTTTGGAGATCCTTTTTGTGACCCCAACAATGTAGTAGATAGTGTATAGTAGTGTACAGTAGTGTATAGTAGTGTATCGTCGTGTTTAGTAAAGTGTAGTAGTGAATAGGAGTGTATAGTCGTGTATAGTAGTGGATAGTAGATGGTGTATAGTAGTGTATAGT